ACATACCGTTAACACGTGATTTTAAGACTGACTAACACATTCGTCTCCGACAGTCCTGGTGGGAGAAATTAGTCACTCGGGTCCAGGACGAAGAACAAGAAGTGCTTTGCTTGACATGACGCAAGATAGTTGTTACGAACAGGACGGAATCCATTCATCTATAGCATGCACTCAATGGCCAAAGTTCGGTGACGATACTTGTTCTCTCGAGGTCACAAAGAAAGCCTTCTGCATGACCTGCCGCTTCTCAGGTCATTATAACATGATGTCTACTATGTCCACGTTAGTCTGCGTACTGAGGGGGCGGCTTTCTTCGCAACAGGGCCGATGCACCAATGTCGTGACAACACTCCTTGACAACCTAGAAATCTTTTGAGTCTGACAGTGCATCGGTCCGCAACGCAGCTTATTCGTTTAGAGGAATAGCTGGAAGCGTGATCAATGGACAAATTCGGAATCTGGCGCTTTCTGAACCTCTAGAAACTCCCTCTGCTCTCGGGGCGCCTGGCCTGGGGCTAGTTCCGCCATCTTTATGCGAACCAGCACTGTTGAGTCTTCACCATGGCCGCGTAACACCCGGTGGCGCATTGTAGCGAAATAGCAGCGATAGTCCACATGCCCACGATTGTCCAATATATTCCGGAAACACATACTATTGGACATAGCAAGGGAGTGGTCCTGGCCCTGCTTGACACTATGGCTTGATGAGGAAGACAGATCACCGGCTTGATTTGCCGAGGCCTAGTTTTGACCGACCTGGAACTGGAATGAATCATCCGCTCTTGGCCAGTTCCTGTACTCATCAAGTCATCATCGTTTATGCTTTGTTCGGCGAGCGGATGTTTACGGGCCTGTTTTGCCAGTTCTTTGTCTTGTTCCAAGTCGGTAAATGCGTGCAGGCCTTTCTGCCGCATGAGTTGTCTGTTTGTCTTGACCAAGTTGATTATCGTCTGGAATTAGTTTATGTTGGACTTCAGAAATTGACTTACTGGCTACCTTTCGGGAGTCTGTCACACTGGGCTTTTCCACAGAGCTCGAACCATATTTTAAGCTATTACTCCGCCCACTCTGGTGTCTTTGACGGCTCTGTTTCACGCGGTACAGATGTCTACAAGGCAGGTCAGTTGTTATCAACAGTCAAATAGACTCCCCAGGTGCTACACAAGGACCGTTCGAATTTATTAGGCTAATGAGCGTGATAGGAAACTTGAAAGCGTCCATGCTCATACTCTCTAGCAAAACACATACAGCATTTCTTATCAAGCAGAAGCGAGCAGGCAAGTTCATGATAATTGAAACCTCGCCAGCCGTAGGGTAGCAGCATCCTTATCAATTTTAGAACTCTTGAAAGCCAAGTATGGACACGGGGCAGTTACGTGGGCCATGGCATTATGCAACGAGAATGAGCCACTATTACGTCTGGACATCAAGCTTTAGGTATAGACACAGGAACTCCGATCGTACGTTCTGGTGTCCATTCCAGACCAAGGTGTATTGAGCCATTAGTGTCCCCTTACCCCAACGATGTCGGAGATCCTCTAAAACATTATGACTTCCGCCACGCTGCATTGGTTTCCAAATACGCCAAACGCTAGTCTTTCCAGCTATGACCATGTGATGTGCCAGGGCCGTTTCCAACTTGAATGCATAAAATGAGGATGAGGGCCTTCGTTTCCACCATCGGCCATGCATTCCCGCGCCCTAACGGCAAACGCCATCCGGCAATACACTTATCATTGAGTTCACCCAAAACTCTCCCGTTAGCAGTCGGCTCTCCCAGAAAGCAACACGAAGCATTGATTCTCATTTTCATCAATAAGCTCCGTTCCATTGACGGGTCAGTATATTGGCAAAACTCATAGCCCTGGACGGCAGGGCGGGTTCAGTTTGCCTCTGGCTTCGACGGTTTAATGCGGAAGACAGACCATTGGCTCCAGGAATTGGTTGACTCAACTGCGGTTGACCAGCTGTTCCTTTGCTGAGTTCCCCGTCTGTCACTAACGTGTTACCATTGTGACCGTCGCGTCCTACCGGACGATTGCTACCCACAGAACCAATTTCTCGAGACACAGAGTTCCTCTTTACAGATGTTCCTCGCCGAGCAGTCCTGACATCATGAGACGCTAGTCTTGTTCCAGGTAGTGGTGGATGCCTATGTACAAGGGATGTTCCGTCTTTATCTGTGCCGACGACGTCGTATGGAACCGTTGGCCTTGCTTGCAAGTCCGAGCCATTGGCCTGGTAGAGTTCATGATGAAGCTGATAACCAGCTTCGTCCATCGCCGAACCGGTTTCCGAGAGCGTATAATGCTCAGCATTGTCGCCCTCAATTCCGACCATATTTTCAGCCGCTCGAGGGCTTCGCTGACTGAGTCCAGTTCGGACCCACGGGTGCACAGAGGCGCCATCACGCGCACCTATAACAGATTGACGACGTATATTGGCTTGTTGTGGGGTTTCAGGAACCCGAGAGCCGATTCCAGCGTCGGTAGATCCCAGTTCCGGCGAAGGTCTTCTCCTGCCGCTATCATGGTCTTGAGGCTCTTCGCTAGCCCGTCCGCCTCCTTGATCAGCATGCTCCTGAAACCCAGACGCCGTTTGGTCGGCTTGTTGCGGACTGGTCCCTTGCCCAGGGTGGCCCGGTGTTGCAAGTTCTGGCGTAGGCTTGCGGCTAAAGGCCCTCCCGGGGCGGTCCTCCCGTGGCGGGGCCTCAGGAACCTCGCTTGGTCTCCTTTGTCTTTCGGGACTTTGATCTCCGTTCCGGCCAGTTCCAAGACTTCTCTGGCGTAGTATACGCCAGCTAGGTGATTCCTCACCCAAAGGCAGTGCAGGCTCGCCCTGGTCTGCAGTCCGTGGCCTCGGACTCTGCTCTCCGCTTATCCGACCTTTTCCCGGTCCGAGGTTCCTTCGAGTTCTTTCCTGAGGGTTCATTTCTTCCTCATCGCCCTCCTCAGCAACTTGCGAGTCTTGTCTTTCGTTGGGCGTCCGTCTCGCAGAGTTGCCTTCCATTTCAGCATACGGCTTCGTGTTGACGTCGTCCTGGCTGATACCGTGCCAACTACTTCTGAGAGCCGTGTTTGCCCGCAAATCAGGGCGGGCACACACGTGGCCCCGGTTGTTTGTGCCTTCGTCCGCGTCGGAGGGAACTTCATAGGGATCTCTTTGTGTTTCCCCGCAGCGACGGGTTGTGCCAGTCGCTTTACGACGCCGTTTAGTCCCTTCCAACAGTGTAGGATCCAATGCTGCAGAACGTTTGCCAGCGTTGGTCCTCGGCGGCCGGATTGCGGCCTTATCGGTCGTCTGATCAGCTCTGCTATGCTGTTTACCTGGCTTCCGACTGCTGGATGCCTTCCCGTGTTCTTTCCCGTCAGTTTCTTCCCACGGCACATCTCTAGTCCGGCCGGTCGTTTGGATTTGTAGGATTTTCCCATCAAAGGAAAGCTCCAAGTCTACCTCTGTTTTCCATCCTTGCCGATGTCTCACCTGGAGCGTGATCAAACCAGGTGGTTGGTATGTGAACCTCACCATAACTGTTTCGACATGGCTCTCCAGCTTGACATCTATCTGTCCCATTGGCACGGCGTGACGCTTCGAATAGACGTGGCGATTTGAGTCGCGAGACCAGTCCGACCGCCGCTTGACCGAGGCGTCGAAAGCATACAGCTTCAAGACAAGCATATCGTTGTCCGGCATTACCGTTTCCCAGTATTTCAGGCAGGTATGCGTACGAAGGGTCTTGGCCTGTACGATGACCTCGCCAGTCGCCCGATCCACAGCCACAGCGTAGCCGAAGCCCTGCTTCCAGAACAGCTCCGTCGGGTCATTGGAGGAGGGCAACGACGCGCCCAGGCACACTGCATTCCTATGCCTCGAGTTAGCAGGCGGCAGCGGTGCGGAGCGACGAAACTTACACCGTGTCTAGAACCTCGACTTGTAGGTTATGTTTGCCGCAGTTTTTCTTTACCTCGTCAATGCGGCGCATCCAGAAAGAGTTGATGGATTTGTTTTCGATCAAGGCCGTCCCCATGAGGACGACCTTATCGACCACACGATAATTTCGAATTTCGTTCTCGGCCATATCCAATGGTTTCTTGTAGCACTCCTCAACAATCCGCCAGAGGTCCTATCCCGGAATTTTCATGCCGTCCGAGATAAGGTCGTTCCAGGGTGATTCACACTGGCTTTCGACGTGAGCCTTGGCGTCTTTGAAAAAATAAATGCTCTCGGTCTCCTCGCGGCACCTCCGCAAGAGTGACGGCCAGGCGTGGTCCATCCCGCCTACACAGTAATTTCGGCTGATTAGAAGCATATACCTGTCGTGCATTTCGTATAGGTCAAAATGCTGCGGCCTAGTTAGCATCCAGGGTCCATCGCAGGCCAGTAGATATGTCACTGGGACCATACCGCCAATCCAGCGCCTATATCCATCACTAGGACCTGTGAAATGGAACGAGTCAGCTTCTCAGTTTCTGTTCTTGTTGCGGTGCGGGAAAGGAAAAGAAATAATCGTCCGCTGACCCTTTTAGACTTGCCCTTCCGCGGCGCTGTCGGCTGCTTGCGCCTCCGTGTCTGCTGTACGACCTTCCGTTGTTGCAGCAGCATGGCTTCCTGTTCCTCCTGCACGGCCTTGCGGTGTAAATATTTAATGTAATCGCTGGCCGCTTCGGGCTCGGTTGTGAAGTCGAGTATATTTGAATCAAACCCTGCCTCGGTGGCACCGAGGGCGATTAGCTTCTGTATCTCCTTTCCATTTTCGTCCTCGGTCCACATCACGGGCACCGGAATGGAAACTTTGGTTAGAGGCCCGTACTTCTCCTTTCGGCAGAGGTTATCAAGGTCCGTCAGAAAATGCGCAAATATCAGTTTCAGGCATTCCAAAAGGGTTTTTTCATTTTTGCGCAGGAAGTCCAGAAAGGCTTGCCCGCCTTTCTCGTGCAGGTTCCTATCCAGCGCCTGTTTGGATCCGAAGCCTATCTCATCATAGTTCATTATTTGGTCGTAGCTCAAGGGTTCAAGCTGTCCGTCGCGGCATCGGAACGCGTTGGGAACTCGGTCGTACGTCCCAGTCCCACCGCTAACCCTCCCTCTCTGTAGCATTGTCGGCTCCCCGTTCTCTACTGTGAAGGCTGCGCCAAAGTGTGAGGTACCGATCTCAAAGGCGGTAGAGATGGATCGCCGCTCCGAAAGCGCTCCGACTTCCTGGGGAGGCGCCATGGCGGAAGGAACGCGTTTGGGATACATCCGCTCAGGCGTGGCGCTGCCGTGCGTTGTGTTTGGATGAGGTTTTGTTTTCTCGCGACGTTGCGGCTGGCATTGAAAAATGGCAGTTCAGGTGATTAAGTTTTGACCTCGGAGAGCACCCTTGGCCGTAATTGGTGGAGTTGCGCCACGCGTGTTCCGCGCCTGGGCTGCGGGTCACACAAACCCCTCTAGCAGGAGCAACCTGCTAAATTAGGCAAGAACCAGCGCCCGCGACCGCGACTGTGGGATGTGACTGTGGGATGTATTCTTGGCGCAATTGATATACTCACTCACAGACTACATAGCGACATTGCCCAGACAGGTCCTTCGGCTCCCAAGACTTAGCATTAGTTCCTAGAGCGGGGGGTGTTTGGCGAAAAGAAATCTGCTGGAGTCTATGAGAAGTGCGCCTAAGAAAGACATGAATCCCGCGACTGCTATACTGCCCAGCAGCGTGGCGTCGGCATCATCTAACTGCATGAACCACATCTTGATATCGAAATACGATTAACCTTGCTGGCCTCGGTCGTCCCGGGATCATGCTACGTCTGGTGCCTTATCAACCAGCGCCACCCTAAAGTGTAGTACGCCTGCACTGAACCTACTGGTCGCTGCGTCTTGGTTCAGTTTACATATCATCGCTCATCCAACTCTCCCGGTTCCAGACAGACCCTTGGACCACAAGGCTGGGCTTAAACGGCCCGTGACTGGGCCTGTGTTGATCCGAGTTGTTACGACACAGATTGAAGAGTTTCGCGTAGACTGCCACAGCATAATGGCATGCGCGCGCTCTTGGTGTTTTTTGCGTCTTCATTTCTCATTTCTTCGTCTAGGGTATGCGGGGAGGCGGGTTCAAAGACTGACTGGGTTAGAGAGCAGCTCCGGGTGGGGTCAACAAAGAGCGTGGATGCCATGACAGACTGGGTGGCTTGAAGCGTAATAATTCTGCCAGTCCTGAAGGTGGTAGTATCTGTAAGGGGCAAGGGGTTTATTCAGCCAGGAGCGTGTTAGAAACCAACAAACTGATTGCATTGCAGAGAAGTCTCCGAGCTGGCTTCCTGGTCTAGTTCCTACGACTTGCTTTTTGAGTTTCCACTCCTGGCGGACTGTGCACCTCTGCGCCACGCTGGGGATATTCTTACCTCGGAAAACACACTATCGGCGTATCGCCAGGCTTGTTCCCTATATGCTTCTTGGCCATTACCGCATAAATCTCTAAGCAGTGTCCCCAAGCTGAACATTTCCGTGCAGCCAAAGCAGTCCATGAATATGCAACGCCCCACGGTTGTTGGTGTCTACGGCGCCAAAATATTGGCTAGTCCGGCCAAACACAGAATGCTGACCTACCTTGAACATGATCTTTCGCCGCGAACTTGGCCGCCTTTCTCTGGACCTTGGCTGACGAAACCTGTAAAGCGAGATACTCTTTAGGAGCTCGCGAATGCAATCATCACTAGTCCGTTCGTATTCCTCCAATTCCTTTCTCGAGGCATCCAATCTAGATTTACTCAGCGAGTGGACGACGCGCTCGAGACCAGGGAAGCTCTTGCGGCTTACGCTGAGCAGGCTGACCCTCCGATTCCTCGATCGCACCTCTAGATGGAAAGTGAGGAAGGCAAAATTCCAATGGTTCGCGAACCGGCCCCCGTGTCGCCTCAACCGACATCGGCCCATGCACACAGGCTCATGTTCCTCGGTGCAAGCAAGCTAGCGACTCCGTGGTCTGCCGCATCCTCCTTCGCACGGACAGAAGGCCAGCCAAATCCCCAGCCTGGGGTCGCTCAGTTCCATGCCATGATACATGGATGTCTTCCACTACCCGGAACAGATGGTGCGGCAGGACATTTGCGACTAAATCCTTCACATTATTTGAGAACACGGTGATATGCCCCTTTACATGATTTCCATAGTCGGCACTGTTGCTATAACCTGCCACTATGGTATGCTTTGTGAAGAAGCCATAGCACGAGTTCAGGGGGCCAGGCCCTTCGACTTTCGGGATAGGCGTGCTCACATTTCATCGGCCGTGCAGAGCCGCCTGAGCCTTTGAGCTACAGACGCCGCCAGTGTGCGCAACTGACATATTCCAGATCTTCCTGTTCAACATACTTGTCACAACAGATCAAGCAAGTGTGTATCGGAAGGGTCTTTCAATTATGCCTGACATTAAAAAACTCCTGTACGGTCTCGATCTTTCTCGACAGAGGTATAGGATGATACCACCAGGCTTTCGTCGAGGACAGCTGGCTTTTGATCTCGTATCGGTCCTCAAGCCACTGTCCTTCAGGTCGTTCCGCTGGTCATCTTCGCTCCTGTTTCGACGACCCTCGATATGAGGCAACTTCGATGCCCGCTCCGACTGCTGAGACGGGGACTTTTTCTTGTGCAAGTGCGATTCCGCCCTCTGGTTGACAGGAATGAGAAAGGAGGCCGGCGACAACTTAGAGTATGAATCTTGCAGCCCACGGCTTCTCCTCGGAGCTATACTACGGTCCAATGAAGCTGCTTCGCCAAGTTCCGCGGCGATCGGCGCGGGAGTGACAGCTCTCTGTTGACCTATCCCTGTTCTATCAGACAGCTCCGCCGGCCTCTTCCTCTCCTTTCTTCCAAAGGGCTTTCTCTTCCGGCCCTGCGCCAAACCCAACATTCTCACATCCACAAACCGAAACTGCCCAGATATTGGAAGAGGAGGCCGGGAACGTCTAGATTCGCGAATGACCCTCTGAATATGTGCGCGAGCTAACATGCCTAACTTATCCCCTGGTCCCCCTGACCTTCCGACTTGCGATTCACTATCCGGGTTTGTCGCCGCTTTACGGTCCCTGTCGGCATTGGCAGGAGAGGCCGAGGAACTAAGACTCAGGCATGGCGCTCGTTATGCCTCCCTCGACTCTTCCTGTACTACGTCGTGCTGCTCCTAGACCCCAAGCGGTTCAGGCTCATGCCTTGATGCGCTAACCGCGACACAGTTGGGAAGCAGGCGAGGCAAACCCGACACTTAGGTAGGGTGTTGAGAATTCCCATTGGTCGGTGTAGCGCGCGTTCGAACCCATGGAGAGAGAGAGGTACATCTTGTTGACCCACACAAATTGTTGACCCTCTGAATATGTGCGCGAGCTAACATGCCTAACTTATCCCCTGGTCCCCCTGACCTTCCGACTTGCGATTCACTATCCGGGTTTGTCGCCGCTTTACGGTCCCTGTCGGCATTGGCAGGAGAGGCCGAGGAACTAAGACTCAGGCATGGCGCTCGTTATGCCTCCCTCGACTCTTCCTGTACTACGTCGTGCTGCTCCTAGACCCCAAGCGGTTCAGGCTCATGCCTTGATGCGCTAACCGCGACACAGTTGGGAAGCAGGCGAGGCAAACCCGACACTTAGGTAGGGTGTTGAGAATTCCCATTGGTCGGTGTAGCGCGCGTTCGAACCCATGGAGAGAGAGAGGTACATCTTGTTGACCCACACAAATTGTATTGTCACCCACACAAATTGTCACCCACACAGCGGGCCACCGCCAGACATCTTAGATAGTCGGTCAGCAAATAAATACTAGGCAATTGCTACACGGGCCTGACTTTCACCACTTCTTACCAGATGCCCTTTCCGGCTCTTGAAGTGAGGTGTAGAGCCTTCGTCACATTACTGTATTAGGTCGTGGGAGTTTCTGAGAAGTAAAAATTCCATGATCAGCTGCACGCGGCTCGGCAGCTGCCTGGCATTCTGTACGAACGCACGTCAGGCCCGTGTAAACACACAATTTTTTTTTTTTTTTTTGGAAGCTACTTGAAAAGCTTTTTTAGTGACCTGAAAAATGAAATTTGCAGTGGCCTGAATTGTTTTTTTTTTTTGGCTTGAAAAAATAATTCTGATTTTTTTTTTGGCCTGAATTGTTTTTTTTTTTTGGCTTGGAAAAATAAATTCTCAGGCCTGGATTGGATTTTTCTTGGCTTGAAAAAATAAATTCGTAGTGGTCTGAAATTTTTTTTGGGCTCCAAAAAATTAAATGCAGAAAGGAAAAACTGACTTAATTTATTTATTTCTTAAAAAAAAAAAAAAACGAAGCACAAAAATAAAACTTATTTTTCGGCATTGCACCCACACCAGGACACACATCTCTCTAGCGCTTGCTGTGCGGTCAGCCTCTTTTCGGGCCTCCACTGCAACAGTCTTCTGAGACTCATTCTCCATTTCGGGTGGTGGAATCAGCCCTTGGATGTAACAGGCCTGAGATGGACTCGGGAGGGTCATATCCAGGATTTTCTTTCGCATCGACCTTGGAATACACAAGAACGGGCCGATCCCCTCCCCAAAGGATTGTCCTTGCCGAGATGTGGCCATGGCGAATCCGCATTGTGTCATGGAGATAGACGAGGGCTGATGTGATGCCAAGACACATAGCTACACCGTCTTCTGGCCTGCCCTTGAAGTGATAAGAGCTGTCCATCTCTTCGAGCAGCCTGGGGTAAGCGAGCTTTGTGAATATAGCCAGGAAGCGCGCGTCGACGCCTAGGAAGTCGATGATCCATGGCTGTCACCGGGGTTAGCATTCTCCAAGGCTTTCTTCTCTTACATGGTAGAATGGCGCTTATTGTCAGCCTGAATGGGCGTGGAGGTTCTGAACTGTTAACAGTATGCGAGAGTTATCTGGGCGTTACCCACGACAGCGGTGCTGCCACAATCTTTTTCTGGCTGGCCACGACTCGGTGCCTTCGGTGCCTTCGCTGGGCGTTGTTGCGAGTCGTGCTCCTGGCTTGACGAGGCTGATACAAAGGCATCGCTGGTGTTGCGCCTGCACTTGTTGGGGGCTGTTGTCATGGTCTTGCCCAAAAACTCGTCAAACTTCCGCTTTAACCCGGACGGAGCTGTTGTCGTCGAATTTTCGGACTTGTTGACGGTCGGCGTTGGAGTCTCGAAGGTCAAGTCGTAAGTCTTTGGCAGTATTCGTATGTCAATGTACTCAAGCTCGTGCGAGATTCTCCAATGACCAGCTGAGAGCGTTACGGAGCGTTACGCATCAACCTTCTTCACACCATCCTGGCTCAATCTGCCGCCGAAGAGTCGACCGTACTCCAAAGAGCCTGGGCCTGAATTGGCTATGGTGATGTCGTCCTCAAAAGGGGCAAAATAGCACTCACAAATGATGGTGCTGTTGAGACTGAACTTGGATGACGCTGTTTGCGGGGTCTGTTTGACGACTACCGCGGCCGGCGTCCGTTGGTGGTCATAACCACGCGAGCGTCCTGAGGTAGGTATTCCCGAGCAATCTCGGGCTTTGTAACATCCTGAAGCACCTGGAAAATGCTAGTTGTACTTGAAGACCGACCGCTGTGATCCGTGATGACCAGGCGCTCGTAGGGTTTTAATACACGTACGTATTTATTTTTAGCGCCGAGGCGTCTGGAGATCGTATTCAGTGCCGGCCGTTTTCTCCTTCTGGCAGGGGCAGCACAGTTCATTGGACGTATCTTGCTGGCTGCCTGTCACACCATCGCAAGCGCGCGCTAAGCAAAGGGGTTTGTCTGCCCCTTGACGTCCAGGCCTCTCCCGCGCTGTTCTGTCGCAGTCAAATTCGACAGTTCCGTCACTAAAATCGTAACTGAAGCAAATACCACCACCGGAAGAGGAAAACCAACCCAACGCAGCATGGAATCCTTTGAAGTGAAACAAACATTTGATAGGAAGCAGGAGGCTTCTTGGGAACCCGAGAAATTTGGCCTCGGACCAGCTGATACGGCTGATTTGAGCAAGCAGTACAGCACCATTTGCCTCCCATTAGTGGAGCCCGAACATTTTATTGAGGTCTTTCAAATGACTGCCTCGAAGGCCGAAGACATCGAGGTGCTAAGGGCTAAGCTGGGGAGGAGAATGGCAGAGATGTGTGTGGAGTTCGAAGACATGCGCTTAGGGCTATTTGAGGTCGCTGCGAAGGACACTCAATTGTCTGACGATGACTGCACTCATATAGGGAAAGCATTCGCTGGCAATTCTGTTGCGTTGGGCTCGATACTGAAAGCTGTGATAAAACTGCTAAGGTACGAGTTACGTCCAGAGTCGCCTTTCTTATGTAAGTTCAGCAAAGCAAAAGACGTGCTGTGACTGCAATTAACGCTCGACTAGATAATCCACGGATGGAGACAGGACTGTCTAACAGGAGAAAGGTCGACGGGAATCCTACCATGCAGATGGTCCCTGGCAAACGTGCCCTATCGACAGAGGAAGAGGGCGAAACAGCACTCGGTGTGAAAAGACCTAAAACTACATCAGACGGGCGTCCCGGTGGCGACAAGCCTCGCCGCAGTAAGCGACTGAGAACAAAAAGGGGAGGGAGATCTTAAGGGTGTATGTTTAGGCTTTGTAGATTTACTGACGAGGGCATTTGTTTTGTGGTCGAGTGTGAATACACTGCCATAGGGCATACCTTTGTTCAAACCTTGCCTGAGATTAAGGAAGGACGTTCAAATTGAAGTGTGATACGCGCCTCCTCCATGCTTGAGAAATGGATTGGACCAGAACGTGGAGAATGGCCCCTATCTCCCGCATACTCACAACGATGTGATTCTTCAGAGGGAATTCTCAAGGAATGATCAGAGCTACTCGATTTTAACAAAGACACTGGAGAGCTGGTGGTCCACGACATATCCAAAAAGAAAGATACTGAGTTGTACATCGTAGGCCTTGATGGGGGCAAACAATGTGCTTATATGCGGACTTCCGGCTTATTCCTGCCAGGACTCAGCACAGTGGTACATGGCACCCGAGGTGATGGAATGGCATGTTCAAACCACCAAGGTCGGCATATACAGTCTTGGGGCAACCGCCATTGAATCTCTAATAGGCTTCCAGGCGCGGCCCGCGACGCCCTCGACTCGTTCTTCTGTTCATCACCGAACATTCAGGGGGGCCATCCCACACTGACTGCCGGGCAGTCCGACCACGGACAGTCCATGGTTCCCATGGCTATACGTCATTAGAGATGTCGCAGCTTTGGGAGGACATCTCTGGGTTCACACGGCCAGATTTTTGCTGCAATCGGGCTCGCTGTTGGAATACTGTTCCGGGATCCCGATTCCGATATCCGTTGGATGATGCCCTTGTTCTTTGATCTGCGCGGCATGAGTGATACTACAAGGACACGATTTGATGGACATCGAGGGCATAGCGAATGGGCGGAAACCCGGAAGCTTCGAAGGATTAAGGCATGGCCACGAACATTCCTATTCTCAACCTCAAACATTTAGGAATGAACATGAAAATTAAAGACGGCCCATATTTCGGACGAGCGCAGTATTGCGTCTCATCGAACCATCACGAACCCCGCAAGTGAAGATGTCAACTCACTGTCAGTGACGTGTGCGATGGCATAGTGTCTAATACTTTATTTCTCGCCTGCGCGTGATTCAGTCCGATGATGCTCTCAAACCTGGAGCCCTCCGAAGCATTGTAGCCCCCCATTCTTAATTCGGTGTACCGGAGAAGACGTCCATCATAACGTAACTGATGCCGTGTGATATGATCTCGGATGGTGGTCGGGTTTGGATTCTGGCCAATAGTTGGCTTGGGAGTTTCAAGGGTTGCTTGTAGAATGGTATTCTTTAATGTTTCGGACTCCTCGCTGTAGTGATTCGCCAGCTCCTGATTCAAGAAACCAACAGCAGCATCTAGCAGGCTCAGAACGACTTTGCTATCGTTCCCAGGGGAAGTTTCGTTGAGGAAGTTGTCCAGTTGCTCGGGTTTAACGTCCTCACAAGGCATCACCTGTTTGCCAGTTGGATCTGTTGTGAGTCCTCCATCCACTTTAAA